AATTTAAGCTGTATTCCCTAATTCAGGGGTATTGGGCTCTCTGGGTACAGGAAGGAGCCTAAGAGCCACCAAACCTGCTGACAATGTCTGTTCTCGGAACATCCAGCCAAGCAACCATCAACGAAGGCCTGCCCCACCTGAGACTTTCAGCATCTGTGTCTGGGCAGGTCTACAGCCTCCTTTGCCGCAGTCCCCGGTGACGAAGTCTTGAAGTGGGTGGGTGGAAGAGGTCAGGCTTCATAGTGATAGAGGTGCTACTACCCTAGTGTGGCAATGGCACTTTTGGCTAGTCCAAACCTCGCACCTCAACCCTAAACGAGCCTGATCATGTCTAGCTCCTAAGAATTTGTAATATGTGTTCAGGGTCCCTAAACCCAAAACCCTAAGCCCAAAACCTTGCTATGTCGCAAGAATGTGAGAGCAGAACCTGTCGCTAAGGTTGCTACAGTGCAAGTAATGTATTGACGCATAAGTTATAAGGTTTGTTTGAGATGCGCTGAGCAAATTTGGTGCTGCTGGTAGACAGATGCAGCAGTCCTACCGCGTCGCGGGTGCATTGTGATGCTTGGCCTATAGCAGGTGCTGCTTCTGTCGGTTCTGGCTGACCGCTCGTAGTTGTGCGGTTTGCCTATGGGCGTGGTTTGAGTGTGGTTGACGTGTGTGTGCATGCTTTCCGATCGCTGGCGGGTTCTCGTTGAGGACGGAATGACTCTAACCAGGGCTGCTCCGACAGTTTTCCCCCTCACTAGTTGCCAAATCCATGCAAAGTGAATGTTGCGATTCAGCTATAAAAGGGGCTCTAAGTGCCCTGTATAAGGTTGTAACCATAGTATCCCTACCTTTAGCCCCATAGCCGTGCTTATTAACCGCACTTAACTACCCAAGTACCTTCAAAGACCTTAACCTAAACCCTAAACCCTAAACCCCACACCCTAAACCCTAAACCCTAGGCAGCGGCCGCTCCTGAGGCGACTCGCTGCGGGACGTGCCCAGCTTGGAGGTGGCGCCGCTGTAGCTCTCGCCTGCAGTTGCGGTGGCTCGGGGTTTGCGGTGGCTAGCGTTCAGGGTTTAGGGTTTAGGGTTTAGGGTATAGGGTATAGGGTTCAGGCTTTGGAAAGAGTGTTTGGGCTTGAAAGACCCCGGAAAAGGTAAAAGGGCCAGCCTGCGGGCGAAGTTTCACCAGTCTTGTCGTAATGCTTTCAGAGGGGCTAGGCAACAATTTAAAAATGAATCTTTGCCACCAAGCAGCGCAACCCCGTTATAGGAATTTGATCATGACAGGAATCAATTCATTCAGGGTCCTGAATTCAGGGGCTTGTTTTCTGGGAGAAAGGCGAAATCAAGTCCAACTTGAAATAAAACACTTGACTTTCGAGTACCGTATCTCCAAAAGCATTGCGGCCGCGTTCCGCGACTGCAGGCCGAGTACGCCCGAGTACGCCCGAGTGCGCCCGAGTGCGCCCGAGTGCGCCCGAGTGCGCCCGAGTACGCCCGAGTACGCCCGAGTACGTCCGAGTACGCCCGAGTACGCCCGAGTACGCCCGAGTGCGCCCGAGTGCGCCCGAGTGCGCCCGAGTACGCCCGAGTACGCCCGAGTACGCCCGAGTACGCCCGAGTGCGCCCGAGTGCGCCCGAGTACGCCCGAGTGCGCCCGAGTACGCCCGAGTACGCCCGAGTACGCCCGAGTCATACCCGGTCATACCCGGTCATACCCGGGCATACCCGGGCATACCCCGGTCATACCCGGCCATACCCGGCCATACCCGGTCATACCCGGTCATACCCGGTCATACCCGGTCATACCCGGTCATACCCGGGCATACCCGGCCATACCCGGTCATACCCGGTCATACCCGGGCATACCCGGTCATACCCGGTCATACCCGGTCATACCCGGTCATACCGTCCCGTGGTTTTCCGCAGTCGCGGTTTCCCGTCACAGTGTCCAAAAGCACAAGCTGCACCATTGCGTAGCGGGCTTTGGCGGTTCTATGTGCTGATGGCTGCATGGGACGTCCAAAAGGCGTGAGAGATCTCAGCCTTGCCATGATGCAGCCGTATCCTTCGCATTGAAATGGTTTCAGATACTACCGAAAATGCCCGGTTTTTGCGCTTGCTCCCCTGTCCTGTAGGGATGGGATTCCGTATAAGCCCCCTTTGAGCAACACAGGGATACAAAGGTCACCATGTTTATCATTAGGCTACGGGCAACCCTCGACACGGTTTTATGAAGGGACGCGTCGACCTCCGAATCCGAAGGGGCCCACCGAAGCCATGCATGATCCGTTAGGGTTTAGGGTTTCGGGTTTAGGCCCCCCCCCCCCTAATGGTTCCCCTCTCCCTATGGTGTGGTTCTCCCTTGTGGTGTGGTTGGGGGCTCGGGGTTTGGGTTTAGTAGGGTTATATGAGGTTGAGGGTTTAATCTAGGGTTTATAAGATTGGCCTGGGCCGGCGACGCGCAAGGACCTTTCACATCACCATGTGTTTGGTACCACCCCACCCTCCCAGAATCCCTTCTCGTTTGAATCATATACCCATTTTTACTTGACTCGGCGCTATCTATTTACATGCGTGCTTCCAAAACCTTCCTCCATCAGGTTCCTTCATAAAACTTGATTTTACTTGACTTACTGGTTTAGGGTTTAGGGTTTAGGGTTTAGGGTTTAGGGTTTAGGGTTTAGGGTTTAGGGTTTAGGGTACAGGTCTTAGGGGGTCCGCCCAGGCAGAGGGTCCCAAGAGAGGTCCGGAGAGGCTGCCAGGGGTTGTCCCAAGGCCCAGGCGTCCTAGCAAACCGAGGGGCCAGACCCCCTGGCCGGAGGTTCAAAAACCCCAAACCCAAAACATTTCATCAAGGTTAAATCTTCTGAAGGTTTGGGGTTTAGGGTTTAAGGCTGGGGCTTGGGGTAGGTTTAGGGAGGGCATCGAGAGTTTTCTGTGGCTCTGGGTACTCATCTTGGGTCAAAAAAACTGGGAAGGCGGATCCAGGAAGGGAGTCACGAGCCAAGGGGTTCGAAGATGCGACTTTGAGAGTTCGAAGACCTTCGAGGTCGAAATTTGAAAGATCTCAGAGTTCGAAAGTTTGAAAGTTCAAACATTTCGAGTTTGCAGTTTGAAACTTCGTGAAGAGAAGTATCTTTCAATGTTTAAACTTTCAAAGTTTGGAACCACTCAACCTTCACACGTTCGAACGTTCAAAGACTCACAAAGTCGATCTCGATCACCTCCGCAAACTCAATCTCCAAACTTTTGCGATCCCGACTTTGGAAGCAGTTCAAACTTAGAAAGTGTGGAGTTCCACGGAGTTCCGAGATTGAGAGCTCGAGAGTTTCAAGCATTTCGAGCTCGAAAGTTGGAGCCACGACCGAGTTTGAGAGTTTCAAAAGGTTGGACAGTTTGGTGGGTTCGAGTTTCGAGTTCGATTTCATGCGTAGGTTAGGGAGGCCACGACTCTGCGAGTTTGAACGTTTGAAAGTTCGAAGTTCGAGAGTTTGAAGTTTGAACCGTTCGAGTTTGAAAAGTTTGACTCCTTCACGAGTTGAAAGTTTGAGAGAACGATAGTTTCACGTTCGAGTTTGAAAGTTCGAGAGTTTCAAACTAGACGAGTTCGAAAGTTTGACGGCTACGAGTTCGAGAGTTTCGCATGTTTGACGTTTGAAGTTCGAAAGTTTGAGAGGTTGAAAGTGCTCGTGACTCCTATCCGGATCTAGGCCAAAGGCCAGGCCTCGTCACTACACATCACGCTGTGAATCTTTGAAGAAGTCCTGGATTCCCCCCTTCCCCCCCCCCAAAAAACCCTCCAAGTAGAGATGCCCAAACAGCTCAATTAAGGTGCTTGGGGGGGGGGGGTTGCATGGACTGTGGCTGGCAGCTGAGGCAAGCAACCAGCAAAGCCGATGTGAGTCGCACCCTCAATTCAAGAGCTGCAGATCATGAGGTGTTTAGGATGGCCTGGTCTTGCCCCTCGCAGCTGTAAACCCAGCCCAGCCTGAAATCTGCATCCACAAGGTACATACAGTAATTACTCAAGATCAAAGTTGGTTCCATTGCTGCCGCACTGCTGCACTTCTTAGCTGTAGCGCAGTAGCATGGGTTCAGGCTGGGACAGGTGTGTTGGTTGTAAGTTTGGAGAAGACGATCGCAGCGCGCGGGTGGTGCCTGACACTAGCTATTGTCGCATCTGCCATAGCAGGAGAGTAGCAAGGACGCTTGCAAGTCGGAATAATCCTCACTTACGATTCAGCGCGCTATGTCGCATATTTTATCGGTAGACTTGAGGATCACGAGATAGGCTGAGTTGCCATTGTGGAAGAATGCAACCCTGTAGCGAATGTCGAGAATTGCTCCTCAACCAGCACACTCCCCAGATTGACCTATGCAGCAAGACGCAAACATGAGTTGATAGTACCACTTACCCCTCGCGGGCTTCAACCCTTTACCCTTACAGCATATGGGTTCTTGAAGAGGGTGCATGTCGACGTGGGTGAGGCAAGGAGGAAGATTCTTGGACAACCTCGTCCAAGATGAAGCAGGACTCGGGTGACTGCGAGACCACTTCCATCGCTTCTTGCTGCAGAACTTTGTAAAACCCTAAACCCTAAACCCTAAACCCTGAACCGATCTTGCCAGCTGTTGTTTCTCCTTGCCATGTCTGACAGCTCGAAAGCATGGACGCAGGATGAGCTCTCATGTGGGACCATGCCACAGAATTAGGGACACTATGTTTTGAGGAAGCAATTGTGAAACGTGAAGCATGCTCTTCCTTACTGCAACCTCGATTATGTGTGAGAAAAGCAAAATCCAGCGTGCAGGTGTAGATGTCAGAACATCCTAAACCCTAAGCCCTAAACCCTAAACCCTAACCCCCGAAACGCTATGCAGCTGGGAGTGTGGCGGCCGGTGCCGCTGTCGTCCCCGGTCGCACTCTTCTCAGCGAGAGCTGCAGCAGGCAGGTGTGCACGGGACCCGAAGCTGGTTCAGTTGCAAGGCTAATTGGGGGGGGTATGGACTTTGGATCCTTGATGGTTGCTTAGGGTTTAGGGTTTGGGGTTCAGGGTTTGGGGTTTGGGGGTTTGGGGTTTAGGGTTTAGTACAGGGTAGACTGCAGTGTTGTGACTGCTCCACGTTGCACCCCTTAGAAGCCCAATGTGGTGTGTCAGGGCCTGCCTGTTTTAGGGTTTAGGGCTTCAGGTTTGGGGTTTAGGGTTTCGGGTTTAGGGTTTAGGGTTTAGGGTTTAGGTATGGGGATCAGCGCCTAGGGCCCTAGAGTTGTCATGCCTTCAGAGCCCTCGACAGGGAGATCACCTGGTGGCGAACCCGGTGGTCTCCAGCGAAAGCTGCGGTGGGCTGCAGGTGCCTAGGGTTTAGGGTTTAGGGTTTAGGGTTTAGGGTTTAGGGTTTAGGGTTTAGGGTTCTGGGCATGTGTGGCCACTATTTGGAGGCTCATGAACTTACACCCCCCCCCTTTTAAGCCACAAACAATTTCCCATGAGCCTCCAAACAGAAGCGCGCAAACGCAGTTCGCAACAACATAGTACAAAACCCTAAACCCTATACCCTAAACTCTAAACCCTAAACCCTAAACCTAAACACTAAACTCTACACCCTATACTTTTTGGAAGGAGTTGAATCCAACTATCCCTTGCGGCGGACAAGAGGGATCAAGAGGTCATCGCCCTAAAAAAGCAGACCATGCTCTGCACTTCAAGTTGAACTCATAAGACGAAATCTCGGAAATTGGTGCGAACATTCTTAGGGGGGCTAACCCTAAACCCTAAACCCTCAACCCTCAACCCCGTAAACCCTAAACCCCTAAGAGCCAAGGTGCCAGCTTCCTTCTCGGTTCCCGCTGGCACCAGCGCTGCCGGAGCTTGCGCCGCAGCCGCCTGCAAGCTGTGGTGGACAAGGACGAGCATGTGCCCTACTGTTGGTTCGTTTAGGGTTTAGGGTTTAGGGTTTATAGGGTTTATATGGTTTATGGGGTTTATGGGGTTTATGGGGTTTATAGGGTTTATAGAGGTTATATGGTTTATAGGGTTTATAGGGTTTATAGGGTTTAGGGTGTGGTGGAATGACGGAATTAGGGCCCCTGTATATACCCTTTAAGGGATTATAATAGGGTACCTCATTCCCCCATTCCCTGCAAACCAACAGTAAGGTGCTTGCAACGCGACGTTGGCTGGATGAGGTGGTCATCGGCTACAACTTCTGCCCCTATGCAGGCCCAACAGAGGACTACTCTTTGCTTACGAACCCCAAAAAATTGAAACATTCTTACCTATAAGGGCACTTTGGGGATCATTACATCCTTTTTTTAAATCGGGGGTTCTTAAGCAAACAGTGGAGGAGGCTCGGCAGATTCGCATTGTCGCCAGCTCGGCACGGTCTCCGGAGGGAGTGCTGGAGGACCTGTCCATGGAGGCCACGCGTCTGCCAACGGTTGCTCAGAAGAGCATCGAGCCGGGACACTTGGTAGCCCAGTGGCACCCGTTTTCCCTGTTTACGGTTTAAAAGATGAAGAATAAAGGTATTCTTCCTTATAAAGGCAGTACAGGGACACCCTAAACCCTCAACCCTAAACCCTAAACCCCAAACCCTAAACTATTATGGTTACTGGGCTACCAAGGTCAGCCAGCAACTACCCTTTTGGTGTGCCCGCACGTAATGGAATGGGAGTCCTTTGACGACTTCCGAGCCTTCTACGAGTCCGAGCTGGCAAATGGCTACATCTATGCAGAGCAAGACCTCTACATCGTGTATTTCCATCCATCCTACGGGCAGGGCCAGGGTCTGAGCTTCAGGTCTCTTCTTTAGAGTTTAGGGTTTAGGGTTCAGGGGGTATAAGCCGAAGCAAGGGGGGAGGAATGGCATTCTTCTCCCTAAAGACGCCTTGAGGGCTGGTTTGAGCACATTAAGAAGACCTTTTTGGGGGAGGAATCGGGTCGCTGACACTCACCTCCCTTACAGCCCTGGTTCCCTATGCATACTGGGCGGAATCGTGTGCATCCAGTGGTTCGTGGTGAATGAGATTTGTCAGCCAAATGACGCGATTTAGGGTTTAGGGTTTAGGGTTTAGGGTTTAGGGCTCCTTTCCTCTAGTTGTCTGTCTTTCCTGAGTTGCTACCTTGCAGTTGCAAGTGTGGACGGTGCGCTGCTTGGCAGGTGGGCAGTGAGCCCAACCTGAACCACCTGAATCCGCACCCATGAACCCCCCCCCAAAACCCCCTATACCCCCCACCCTAAACCTCCCCTATACCCGCCCCCCTACCCCCCCCCCCCCCCCACCCCCAGAATCGGCGCAAAGGCACGGCGGAGCCACTGCGAGAGGGGGACGTGGTCGATCTTGGCGGAGGCTGCATCTTTGGGATGCGATGCTCAGGTTCTTTCGGGTTCTAGGGCTTATCGGTTATATAGGCTTTATGCCTTAAAATAGACCCTAGATACAATACTACGAACCCCCCTACAAAACGGAGACCCGACTTAAAGAGACCACCAACCCATATAACTTATGGGGCTTGTATGGGGCTAGAGCAACAAGAGGAGAACGCCACGCGTCATAGTAGTGTTGTGGCACATCTATATTCGCATGAATCCGAGGATCTGATGAATGGGAGGGCGGGGGGGGGGCACCGGGAACAACGCTTGGAGGAATTAGTCAGCATGGGGTGCGCCCGCCTTGGGAATAATTCACCGCCACCCACCATAGCCCAAATATTACTCCAAATCCTATCCCAATCATGTATATCTCAAGCCCAAATGCCAGATTCCCAAAAAGGGGCAAGGGTGGGTACATTCAATTTGTGGTTCACAATGTGGGGCATGGGGTGGCTTCGCTTAGCCACTTCTGGATGGCACTTCACCGTTGACGAGATCAAACCCACTACCCGCTAGCTTGTTCCTGCTTACGTTCGGCATCTCCATTTGTTCTTTCTTTCCCTGGCTTTTGTTTCCCGGCAGCTCTTAGCAACCCTGCAAGCCCCTAACTTGCTCCCCTCCATTTGTTTCAAATGTGCTCTTTCATTCCCTGGTTTGTTTGGGGTTTTGGGCTCCCGCAATGGAGTGAAGTCTTCCCGAAAGGTTTCGGGCCAAAAAGAGCTTCAAGTCAAAGGGCCTTCTTTATCACAAGATCGCAAAGAACATCGGCCTCGACGGGTCTCTTCAAAGCGGCACCATCGTGGGCTTTCTCAGGGAGATGCTTTGCTTGGCGTTAACAGCAATAGCAGTTCCCAAGCCCCTCAGCAGCTCCATAAGCCTACAGGACATATGGCCTTGGTGGTTCATTGCTCAAAGAAGCCTTGAAGACGTGAAGGAACCCGATGTGGAGCTGTACCATTCTCGCAAGCGCCCTAAACCCTAAACCCTAAACCCTAAACTCCCTAAACTCCCTAAACTCCCTAAACCCTAAACCCGCAGATGCAGCGACGGTCTTGGACACTGCAGCCGGCTTTGGGGCCAGTGGGCAACCCTTGGCCAAGGCCCGCGCCTGTTCTTCAGGGCGTAGGGATGGTTTTCGGGACACCTCCCAAGGATCCCAATACCCCTTAATTCAGGAAGATTCCTTAAATCATAATAAGGATCCCTTTCTGATTTAAGCTATCTTCCTTAACTAAGGGGTATTGCGCTCTCTGGGCTCGCAGACAAAAAGAGGATGATCGCAACTCCTAGATTAGGCCGGAATGCCTCCCCTGAGCCCAGAAACTGAGCCCTAACGCAAACAGGTGAGTCTGGCCAGCGGTGAGGCAGAAGGGGGGGAAGAGCATGCCGTGCTGCCGGGTCCAGGGCTCTAGGTGGCTTTTGCGTGGAGAGCGGGCGGAAGACGACAGTGGTTGAGTCGGAGCTTCGGGATGTTTAGGGGTTAGAGGGGATGTTGAGAACTAGGGTCTCCACCAGTGCGAAGGTTTCGGGGAGCCAGATCGGAGAGTGCTGATGTACCGCGTAACACCGAGTAGGGCTTCAGGGGTCCGGGGCCGGGTTTCCCTGCTCACCGAGCTTGGCTTCGTCCTCGGCTGTAAACAGTCTATAAGCCACCCTGAAGCCGCCAACCTTGGGATTTTATTCCTCTAATTATAGGGTTCTTAGACGGGTTCATGGGGGTATCTGGGGAACCTTAGAGCCTTATAGGGGGGTAGTGGGGAGTAGTAGGGAACCTTGAGGGAACCTCCCTTGAGCCCCCCTCCCTTAAGGACCCTATCCTCTAAGGTCTGAAAGGAGGGGTAGCCCAGCCGTTTTAGACGTTATGAAGCCTTCTCAACCATAGAGCAAGTGTACGTCTCTTTACATATATACATATTATATACATATATATATATATATACACGTCCCCTACATAAGTCCTGTACGAAGCTGTTGTAAGCTTTGGAACACCTGGGATATGTAACCCTGAATCCTAAACCCACAGGTCTATTCTTCCCTGCTTTATTGGGTTTAAGAGGACCATCTTTAGGAATATGTTTTTCAGAGGGTTTAGTGGGGCCAACCTAGAGAAGGAGAAGCCCTTTAGGGTTTAGGGTTTAGGGTTTAGGGTTTAGGGTTTAGGGTTTAGGGTTTAGGGTTTAGGGTTTAGGGTTTAGGGTTTAGGGTTTAGGGTTTAGGGCTACAGAGCCCCGAAGGAGTCCTTCATAGAGCTGCCGGTGCCCCCGGACCACACGGAGCAGATCGTTTCCTGCGCCCCGCGGCCTGCCTTGCACCTGCCCCTTGCCTCGGTTTACTACTACTTGCCTAAGAACCCCAAAAGATTAAAAAAAAAAAAAAAAAGTAAAATAATCCTCATAATTACCCTTAATCAGGAAGGAGATTTTTTTCGGGTTCTGAAGTAATTAATTAGTAGTTTAGGGTGCAGGGTCGACCTTGAGAATGCTGAAAGCCCCTTGCGAGGATTCTCAGATAACCTGCAACAGGTAGGTTATGGGTTCTTAAGGTAGGGTTTAGGGTCTGGGGTTTAATTTAGGGTTTAGGGTGACAGTGTTGTCACCTTAGAGAGCCCGGGTTTACAAGAAGGATTAACAGGATTGGGTGCTGTGGGGGGGGGGGGGGGGGGGGCGTGCTGCAAAACAAAAGGGTTTAGGGCCCAGAGAGTTTAACAACGGTTGAGGGTTCAGGATCAAGATCAACATCTTGGGATCCCTGAAGAGAGGAGCCCAAATTAACTCAACCCCAGATTTTCTCAACAACTCCCAATGTCTAGATCATCGAGAAACTGCCAGAAATCCCCCCCCCTCAGCCGGGGGCGAAGGCTTCGCACCCGAGATCTGGAGGAGGCGAATGATGCGGAGATCCACAGGTGGGCAGTTAGGATTAGGGTTTAGGCTTTAGGGCTTGGGACTTAGGTCTTAGGGCCAAGGCCAGGTTCAAACAGGGACTGAGGCCGTAAAGCCCCGGGTGGCCGGGAAAAACGAGCCCCGAAGCTCAAACAGGGCTCATGGCCGGTTAGGGTTGTGGTTCGAGCGGGTGCACGTCTCCTTTCTCTAAGGGTAGTTTTATATGGGCCCTTAATATGGTCCCTTGCCTTTTTAAAGGGTTCTGAATGGCCCTTGGGTTGGGGCCATATCACTACCCTAAGACTTTCGCGTAGAGAGGAAATCTTGGATTGCTTGAGGCTGGATTTCCTGTGCCCCGAGTTATGTGGTCGGAAGTTCCAAACTACGACACATGGTGCTTCCGATGGGCATGTATGCGTATACATAATATACATATATATATATATGCAACAGATATATCGCATGTGTTTGTTATTTGGTGGTTCAGTCATTTGGCTAGTTAAGTCGTCAAGGAGAACTATTGATTTAGTCTTTTTCGGCGCTCATTTCGCAGTTCGCAGGCCCATGTCAACATCTGTGGACCCTAAACCCTAAAACCCTCCAGCCCTAAACGAGCCCTAGTATAAGGCCTTGAACCTCAACTAAGCCCTGAAAACCAAAGACCCTTCTAGGCTCTTTCTGGCTAGTGCATGGGCAGGCGAAACACCGACACAATCGCGACAGTGGGCGAAGAGCGAATCCGCAATAAGATTGAGCGATGTGGATGAGAGCAAAACAGGTCCTTCGTGCTTTTGCACGTGGTTTTAGGTTTAGGCTTTCAAGAAGGCGAGGATAGGCGGGGTGTCCGGCAGTCAGCAAGTCCAGCTTCAAAAAGGGTTTCGGGACATGTTTCGACCAGGAATCGCTTCATGTAGTGAGTCCGAGAAGTCCTCAGGGCCTTGTGAACCTTATGTCGGCAATTCTTCAACAAACCCATGAGCATTGCGTCCCGGCTGCTCCTTCAGCCATTTCTCGCTAAGATGCTCAGGCATTTCTCAGACTTTTTCCTTCACTTGAGTTTTTCATCGCTCTGTAGGGAAGTTTCTTTGCCCGTGGCCGCTGCTAAGAGACGTGTTTGCTTCCCGCAGTCGACATGGTTAGGCTTGAAGGTTTCGGGTTTAGGGTCGGAGGTGCCGCGCCCAGCTTACTTGGAGCAGAGCAGGGTTCAACAAGTGTAATATAGGGGGCCTTGGCCATTTGGGGTTTCAGAAGGTCTGTGGTACTTGCATGGAGGAAGAGTTTCAGCAGCCGACCTAGGAAGACGTTGAGGCTGACAGGCATTCTTGGTAGAAGCCGTCCTGCACAGGAGCGGGCGCTCGTGCGCACTCTCTAAAAAAGGAGATAACATTCTATGAATACATAGCTACCAATCCCTGTATCATGATAACACGAACTACCCACAAGCCTACTCTACACCTTAAGAAGTGTTCGGCTAGTGAGTTTAGAGTTTAGGGTCCAGAGTTAGGGGTTCAACGGTTCAGGGCTCCCGCTGGCCATTCCTATAGCAGGATTTGCGGAGCTTCTTCGCTGCTGTGGGCGCCGAGGACTGGACTTTGCTTGAGCCTGGCCCCCAAATCCTGAACCGCCTGGACCTGGGTTGCTCATGCATGCAAGGTTTTTGTTTGGTGGAAGGGTGTGTTTGGGTTTTTTGACAACCCTCATGGTTTCGCAGCCTAACACCTTTGCAACAAAGACCTGTAGGGCCAACGTCATTTGGAAACTTCCATGCGTTCTCCCAAAGCCTTGGCCGAAAAAGCTACCAAGATCACCCCCTTCACTGCGCGAGCAATGTCCCGGTTGCCGCTTGCGTCTTTGCGTATGGAGCATGCAGTGTCCCCGAAGGTTTGGAGTTTGGGGTTGAGGGTTTAGGGGCCAACCACCTGTCTGCTGAGGTTGGGAAGCTACCGAGGCTATAGCACCCGGGCCCATGCCCCAGTGACCCCAACCAAGTCCCTAAACCCTAAACCCGGGAGACTTCGGCCAAACACCGCGCCGTGGGAACCCATCCGAAACAGCAGGTTTGCACCCGGAGCTTCTTCCAGCTTAATATAGGGGCCTTAATAATTAGAATTGGGTTCTGGGTGTATTTTCGTAGAATTTCAAAGGGACCATGAGGGGATGCGATGAGCCAGCGTTGAAGCCCGCCACAACTTCCCAGCTTTCTGCGGCCCGGCGAGCTGCTTCTGACCTGGGGGTTTCCGAAAGTAGGGGTACCTTTTTTGGGGTCCTGATCAGGGAATCCTAGAATTTGGGGGTCTACATTAGGGGTCCCTGATTGTCGTAAAGCCCCACCTGATAGTGGTTCGGTTTATCAGGCAAGCACTCGGCTATACAGTTTACCTGGGCCGGAGATCCTTTAAAACCATAGGGACAGGGGCTGCCTCCCCTGTTTCCTTTACCAGGTAGCCTCTTGGGACACTGTACATTTTCCCTTGTTCGGTTAAGAGGATCATATTCAGGAAGATGTTTCAGAGGGTAGAGTTCAGGTTTTGGGGTTGAGGCAGCGTTCGAATGAAGAGGTCTGGAATGCAAGAGGGTTTAGGATTGCTGCCGGAGCTTCTTCAGGGTGCATACAGACGCCGAGCGTCCTGCCATGACATTCCGAAGCACTACAGTTTTTATTGGTGACACCTCTTCAAGGTTCTCGGTGCTCTTGGCTTAGGTTTTAGGAGCCCCCTAAACCCTTAAACCCTAAACCCTAATTAAACCCTGCCCTAGATGTCACACGAACCACGATGGTTCCCGGCGGAGTGATCCCAGAGGGGGTCTGCTAGGCGGGTGGCAACAGAAAAACTCCTTGCCCTAAACCCGCGCAGCCACGAGTCATCGCGATGTCTGAGGCCTTCTCCGAGATTTTCCATCGAGTCATCGCCGTCGATGCATCCGAGGTGCCAGCGCTGGGAGGGCTGTCTCAGACGGATCTGGTGGGTTTAGGGTTTAGGGTTTAGGGATAGACTCCCAAATAGTAGGAGCCCCTTGCAATAAGGACCCCAAAAAGGTATCCCTGGTTTCGGAAACCTCCCATGGCCCCTACTATTTTCTTAAGAACCCCAAAGAAAGAACAACATATTCTTCTCTTCCTTCTAAGGGCAATATGGGGATTAGTATCTTGTGTTGTTTGGAGGTTCTTAGTGTTTTCGGCTTTGGGGTCTACGTAGGCATTGTCGGCTTACGTTCAAGCTTTCACAAGCCTTGCTTTCCCAGACAAAGCTTCATCCTCTGATATCAAGGTTTAGGGTTTAGCATTTAGGGTTTAGAGACTGCTAGTCGTTCTTGAGGTCTAGGGTTGAGGTTACCCTGAACCCCCCCCCCCCCCCCCCCCCCCCCCCCCCCCCCCCCCCTCCCAAAAAAAAAGAGACAATCCTTATGAGTCGTACCTCCCAAAATGGGTGGGCACACCTTTATAGACCACCCAAAAGACCATCATCCCAACTGCATGAAAGCCCTTCACACACACACACACGCTCAACACCTTGTCAGGAAGGTCTTCAAGGTTTTAGGGTTCAGGGTCCCTAAGCCCTAAACCCTAAATTCTTTTCAGGGTTCAGGGGGTTGAGGTGTTCCTGGGCCTGAACAGCCAGCACAACCGCGATCGCGAGAGCCTCAGAGCCTTGCGAACCAGAGCCCTTGCAGAGCTAGAAGTATTAGGGCTTAGGGTTTAGGGTTTAGGGTTTTAGGGTTTTAGGGCTTAGGATCACGGGTGAAGGTTGGGATGTTTCCCCTTGTGCTAGCAGTCCTTAAGAGGGATGATACTAGGGGGGGGGGGGGGGCACGGGGGTGGTCCTCGAATCCCAATTAATTACTGAGAGTATAGGGGGGAACATGCCAAGGTGAAGGTATGGTAGAGCAAAGTGTCCCAGGCTCGAACATCCTCTACGTTCACTTGCACAGCCGCATGGACGGGCTCCGGCGGTTGCGCCTGCGCCCCCGGTGCTGGAGTTGGCTTCCTCTTTCTAGGTAGGCCCTTGGGACATTTTGTGTTTTCCCTTATTTGGGTTTAAGAGGATCATATTCAGGAATATTTTTTCAGAGGGTTTTGGGGATCATCCTAGCTTTGCACTGGCACGGCAGGCAAGAAAGAACAAGGGGAATGAACACAAAGGGAGAGGGGTGCAGGCTTTAGGACACTACACCTGGATGTGTTGTGTGTTTTTGCAGATTCGGCGCTCTGCTTGCAGACAAGTGCTGGCTTCAATGTGCACGATGCTTTCTGGCACATGGGCGTACCCTACACGGGGCCCTTAGAAGGATCCCCGAATTTCCGGAAGCCTCTGCGTAGGTGAACGTGACCCTTGCCACGAGAAAACACGTGGGTGAGGATTCCGTTAAGGGGTAGAAGGAGGGAAGGGACCCTTAATCTTATTCCCCTATATAACACCTATAGAACTATAACTATATATATATATACATACCTAAAATAGCCCCTATATACACCTGAGAAGCCCCTCAATAACCTCTAATAACCCCTAAGGTCCCTCATAAGGGTCCCTCCAGTAGTCCCTTGATTCAGAGGCCAGGGTACGCCTGCCCACTTGACGCCTTCCGAGGCCGGAATAGCGTGCGCAACCCAGGTTCTTGGGGCGCTCTCAGTGCTTGGGAAGGCTTGGGTGCGTATCTACGGATGTTCCTGCTTATATTAACAGTCTTAAGAGGGATGATAGTACCCCCAGTACCCCATACTATAGTCCCTCTTAAGGACTGTTAGTATGAGTGGGAACATCCCAAAGCCAACCACACACACACACACACCTTGAACGTGGTCTACTCTTTGGGGGTGCAGACTTCATCGCTTTGCCGCCCTGTGACGTAGTGAGGTGCAAGTGGCCATGGTAGATGCCGAGCACGAGTACACTTCGGCTGCTTGTCTCCATTCAAGGCACTGGGCCGCTCTGGCCCGCCCTACGGGCTCAGTGCTTGCAGTGCGCATATTGACATTTTTACGCATTGCACGCATATGTGTATATATGTATATAATGCTTATTTATGCATGTGTTTATTCTCGCTGGCACATACATGCATGTTCATGTACGTATACATCTGTATGTATCTGTACATATCTGTAAATATCTGTATATGTCTGTATATATCTGTATATATACATATGTTTGTATATAAATGCATGTATATATATATATATATATGTATGTATTTATTGCGCATACACATACATACATACATACATACACACATACATACATACATACATACGCATTCATTCATGTGTAGCAAGGGGCCGGCCATCTAGGATTTCAGGAGGCCTTTGGAAGTGGCTCGGGGGATCGGAGTTCGTTTTTCTTTTCATTCCTACACCTAAAGGGTTCAGGTTTAGGGTTTGGGGCTTAAGGTCAAATACCTAAACCCTAAACCGCGGGTGGCGAAAAATAGACCTAAAATTTGATGTAATGAAATTTTCTGCTGCGTGTGATGATGTTGTCGCATTTCTCCAGTGTGGAACTGCAGTCTCCTTACCCGGTTACTCCGACAGCGTGACATCTTGTTCGTTGGCTGCATACACTCTCCTACTCTTCAATGCTCCTTGCAAGGGGCCTCTCTTCTACGACTCTCCTTTTAAGGGGCTTCTACTCTTCGATTCTCCCTTTGGAAGGGCGGAGAACTTCAACCATCTCAAAACCGATGTCTCTCGAATCTGTTGGCCTCCTTCCTGAGGTTTCCCAAGCAGCTTCTAGCCGCTTGCGGGATAGCTCTCCCTTCACACAATGTAGCAGATAAAGTTTAGGGTTTAGGGTTTAGGAAGTTTATTCTTCTTATACTCACCTGTTCAAGACCCAAGAGCATAGCTCGACCATTTACGGAGTGTTCCGTCTTAGCTCGGTTGATGGCAGCCACTTTTGTCCAGAAACTGGACCCCCCCACCCTAAACCCAACTTCCGTATCTTGACGGATGTTGAGAGCAGCTCTCTGTACCCTAAACCCTAACCCTAAACCCTAAACCCTAAACCCCAAACTCTAGGGGGGGAGGGGGGGGGGGCGGGGGGCCTGATTCTCAGGTTCTTCGGGACACCTCCCAGCTTCTAGACAACTTCAGGCCGGACCCTCTTCTTCGGTGCAGGGTGCACAGGGTTTAGGATTTAGGGTGTAGGTCTAGTGTTTAGGGTTTAGGGTTTAGGGTTTAGGGTTCTGCTGCCCAAGCGGATAGTACCCAGTCGTGGCCTGATACCCGTTAAAGGCGTGAGGTTCCCTTCTTCTACGCTCGCTGCAACCAAACCGGGAGCCTTTTTGGGATTTGGAGTTTTTCGGTGTTTAAAAGGATCAGATTTGGGAGTACTGTTCAGATTCCTAGGGTTTCACACGTCAACCTAGGTAGAAGGTCCTAATCAGATGTATGTCTGCCAGAGACCTTTAAGATCCTGTGTTTCAGTTGCCCAAAGAGTGCCGTGTTCCTCATCAGGGGGTTGAAGTACCTGATCTTCGATGACTTTGGCACCAACAGCGGCGTTGCCCGGGTGCCTCACCACAACTTGTACCCTAAACCCTTTTCCCCAGACCCCAAACCCTAAACCCTAGACCCTAAACCTTCGACCCTTCGGATCAGCTGGTTTCTTGGGATGTTGCCCTGTAGTTTCAGTGCTGCTGACGAGTTGGTCCCGATGAAGTGCTGGTTAACAGTGCAGTTGTGCCCAAACCCGAGCTTGAGGAGGTGGGGTTTAGGGTTTAGGGGTTAGGGGTTAGGGGGGGGTTTAGGGTGTGGGGTGTCTCTGTGGCACTTGGGGTCTCCTTCTTGTTCTGGGAGGTGGAGTTTGGGGTCTCCGTCGGGTGTCCGCGGCTGGATCCTTTGATTACGAGGGGCTCAGGTATCCAACAAAGGGTTTTCATGTCATGGCCCCCGCTCAGCCGCAAAAGACTTGGCAAAAACCAGCCTCACAGCTTCTGCATCGTGGCTGACGCTGCGAATGTCTCCTTTGCTGAAGCCTTCCCACAACTTCCAACTCACGCACCCCAAACCCTGAACCCTAAACCCAAACCCTAAACCGGCGCACTGCACACTCCAGGCCATCAGAGAATTCGTTCAAGTGGGCGACTTGCAAGTTGTCGGCGGCGTCCGGACCCCAGAGCTCACGAGCAGCCTGTGTGGGTTTACGTGGATCACATTCTGGGAATGTTCATCACTTGGTAGCCCAGTGGTATCCGGTTCTAGGTTTATTATCAAGTAGCCAACCTTTAACAAGGGTACCCTTATTATAATCTGGTTTCTGGGCTACCAAGATCAGCCCCCAGTCTATGCCCCACTGTGTTTGCAGGACTCAAGGTCATCGCAACGAGACGCAAGAACTGTAGCTGATAAGACATTAGCATCAGGCTAGCCCGAATGCACCCCGCCTCCCTCACAAATGCCACAATCAGGAAGGTTTAAGATAGCTTCAAGCTGTCAAAGCTACCAGCCCTAAAACCAGTTTGCATACATATACACATGTACATACATATGCAGACGTATGCACACACATATGCACATACACATATGCGTATACACATATGCATATACACATATGTATTAGAGAAGCGAGTGACATATTGTTCCGACCTCAGGAGCCTAAGTGAGGGGATCTCGCCATGGCGTTGAGCTTGCGGCGCATGCTTCCTTCCGTGCACCGGGCGTCCCGGCCTCTGCTCCGGAGCCTGGCAGCAGCCCCCAGCCACTGGGCTTTTTTACGGTTTAGGGTTTAGGGTTTAGGGTTTAGGGTTTAGGGTTTAGGGTTTAGGGTTGGCATCCGGAGGGGAAGGAAGAGACCCAAACCCCCCTGAAGCCCTATACCGCTGCAGTTGTTTGTTCCTTTTGAGGGTGAGGCTGGGCTCGCTGAGCATCGGGGCTTTGGGTCTTAGGGTGCGCGAGTTGGCGTTTGATGGTGTTGGGAGACTTCGGTCATGTTGGAAGGCAAAGGCTGTTGGCTTCTGGGAGGTTGCTTGCTGTCGGAGTCCTTAGGGTCTTCCGGAAAAATCGAGGTGCGGTAGAGAGTTGCAACGAGCTCCCATCCAAAATGTTTGCCTCTTTGCCAGCTTGGGGATTAGCGCGTTGAATTCTGAGTTCTGTGACGAGGGCTCTTGACTCAAAAAAGCCTAGCCGTCCTCAACGCACACTTTCAGGTCTTTGTAAGGCAACGCTGCAGAAATCGCAGTAGTAAAGTACCTCGGTTGGGGCGCAAGAGAGCATGGAAGCTTTCAAGGCCCACCTCCACCGCCGACGGAATCCCTGCAACCAGATCGCATGTGTCGGACTTCTGGTTGCTAGGGCTTAGGGCTTCGGGTTTAGGCTTTAGGGTTTATGTTTTAGGGTTTTGGGTTTAGGGCTCAAAAGGGTTTTGGGTTTAAGGCTGTGGTTCCATGGCAGGTGTTTGTGTTCGGCTTTGTGGAGTTTGCAAAACCCTAAACCCTAAACCCTAAACTTTGCGCGCACGCATGTGTCCTTCTGATGCAGAAGCTGCCCAACAACCGGCGGGATTGCAAAAAAAGTGTACCCGTTAAGGGAGTACATAGGGCCCTACTTCCCTCATTCCCTACTAAGAACCAGCCAGAAAAGTGGGGTGCGCCTGTTGGTCCAAATTTCAACAACAAGAACAAGACCTCGAGACTGTATGCCCACTGGAGATCTTCAGATCCAGGCATTGTTGATTCAAGGCCCGTCCCTAAATCCTACGGTCGTACACCCTTGTCGCGCAAAGGAAGCCCCAAGCGCCTAAAGTCTACCGCCAGCGCCTTCTGGATGGAGGGGAAGAGGCGCAGGTTTAGGGTTTAGGGGGTCATGGGGATTTTGGGGGTGGTTCACCCAGAGAGCCCCACACCCCTTAATTGCGGAGCAGACAACTTAGCTCATTAGAAGAGTCCCCGTCTAGTTAAGGTTCACAATTACTGCCAGCTTGTAAGGGGTTTGGGCATAGAGTTGTGGGGTGTTTTGGGCGTTCCATTAAGGGTGTCTTAATAACAGCCTGCCACCACTTGCGGATCCGTGCGAGTGGCGGGCATCCAGACAGTACCATAGCTCAAGAATTTTGGGTTTAGAGCTTAGAGTTTAGGGTTTAGGGTCATCTGGCCTATGCTTCCCGTTGCAGCTAGCTTCAGAGAGCCTCCTTAGCGCCAGGTCTTGACCGAAGCAGAGAAGCAGGAGAAGGACGAAATCATCAAGGACCTAACCAGGCCTTCTTGCGCACACTGCTTGCACGCTTCCTGAGACATCCCCGGGATGGCCTCATGGCCTTCGGGTTTTTTCTGGGGTAGGTGGCCCCTAGATGGTGTTGCTCAATTTCCGTAGCACTTGGACCACTGTTTGGGATCCATGCCGGCCTAGTAGAAGCGCAGAAAAGTCCTGCAGCATTTTTGTTTTCAATGCACTCTGCCCGCCAGGCGACTGAGTGGTCCTTTGGCGGACGAGGATGGAAACGTGCCCACAGGAGAAGACCGGCCCATTGCTATTGAAGTAGATGGGCCGTCCCACTTCTATGCAAACTCGAAGCGCTACACTGCTTACACAAAGCTGAAGCACCGACTTCTCACAAGAATGGGCTACAAAGTGCTGCATGTTCCGTACTACGAGTGGAGATCTCTGCGGGGCGCAGTGGAGAGAGAGGACTACATGCGGAAGAAGCTGAAAGAAGAGCCCACGGAGTGGTTGGATCCGGAAGACGAGAAGTACTACACGCAGGGACCGGATGAAGGTGAGGATGAGTTCTCGGTGAAGCCGGAGGCATCGACCCATACTAGCAAGCCCGACACTGCTGCCTGGCCGGCCACCCCGAACCCCCCGCCGCCGCGGCAAGCGCAGCCACAACCGACCCCCTCCCAGCCTTCTCAGGCTTCACAGCCGCCTCCTCCGCCAACCACGGCCATGCCCCCGACACCCCCTGCACCACCACAGCCTCCCCGACCGAAGTCGACGCCACCCCAACCACCCGGTCCACCACAGCCACCGCCAGGCTCCGAGGCATTCCCGTCATATCCCAAACCACCACGGAAGTGAGCAAGGGAAACAAAGCAGGTCTAAGTAACAACCGTAGCTCCCGTCTCTTGCACGTTGCCTTGTCGAGCGGACTTATAGAACCCTTGGAGGCTGGCAGCGTTCAGGAAAAAGGCTGCTTTGGCCAGCGTACACTAGGCCAGGGTTTAGGGTTTAGGGATGTTTGTTAGCAGCCTCCAAAGTCCGTTGCTCAAAAGAGTTTAGGGTTTAGGGTTTGGTGGTTTTGTTGCCCTCTTCGATTTTGGTTCGCTGGGGCTGACAATCGGACGACTGCTCCAGCTGCGAGCGTTCCATGGACATCCCACCAGTTGCTTTTGAATGCACCCCTAGGGTTTAGGGACTACGTAGGGCCTACGGTTTATAGGGTTTAGGGGGGGGGGGGGGGGTTTCCGGGTGTTGGGGTTCAGGGTTAGGGGTTTAGGTTCAGTGAAGTCAAGCGCCTGGCAAACAGCGGCGCGATCAGCGAATGCAGCCCTGTGTCCCTTGAGCAGAGCCATCTCATTTGCGTGGGCTTCGGGCTTTAGGGTGTCTGGGCTTCCGGGTTGTGAAGCTGGTTGACACATGATCCCCATTCCCCATGCAGTTTGCATTTTAACCCGCCCACTTTATCAATGCGCCATCAGCTGCTTGTCATCTCAAGCGATGCCCCTAGCTCTTGAAACCCGGAGGGGGGAGATTGTATGGCTTTCGAAAACTAACACATCAATCCAAACAAGGGCGGTAACGCATGTCTTTGAGGTTTCCCGTCGTGCCCAAACCCTAAACCAGCCCAAAGCCCTAAACCAGCCATAAACCCTAAACCCCTATAGAACCGACTCCGACCAATGAACCTTGCCGGCCCTGTGCGAGAGTGAGCGACTAAACCCCTCTCCACCCCCAACACTCTGCAAAGTTACAACTCCAGCTGACAAGGTCGGGTTACAGCCTCCCTGGAGCTTCAACAACGAGGCTCGGAGTCACCTCGACCTAACTAGGGCTTACCTCGGACTATGGCTGTTGCATGTTGATGTATGGGAAAAGAATAACGGCTTATCACTAGAAGATGAATATACATATACTGCAGAAGATGGTACATGTGAAAGTAAGTCATACACACATTATGATCCAATAGCAGCACATTATGATCCAATTGCAGGATTTAGTTGAGTTGAAGCACTCCATATGGGTAGTTCTCTAAATGAGGGTCCCTTCTGGGTGGGGGGGGGGGTGCTTTTTTTAAGGGTTCCGTTACTACACAAAGGCCCCAGAAACGGATCCTATTTTAGAGAACTCTCAGTTGACCTACAGTCTGCTGTGTTTTTGCCTAGCAATTCTGGGTAATTGCTACTAAGCTATATGCAAATCGAGTCCCGGGTAGTTTTTTCGAGTTTAAGGCTCGATCCTGCGAAACCTTCCTGGTTCGCAATGCGGAGTTCGTTACAGGCATCATGCAGGGAAGCGAATTCTCAAACCCTAAACCCCAAACCCGAAACCCTAAACCCTAATTTCTGAAGTAGAAACAACTCGGAAACCTTCTAAAAGCCTAATAAACCCGGCAGACTCAGAACCCAAAGCCATCACCTTGACGTTCCTCCTGATACTAACAGTCCTCAATCGGGATAGGGGGTAGGATAATCCCTATCTTTAGGGTTTAGGGTCTGTTTTTGGGACATTTTGGTATTTTCCTTATGTGGGTTTATAGGGGGCCCAAGATAAAAAATATTGTTCTAAGGGTTTAAAAGCCAACCCAGTTCCAACTAGCAGACCTATACCCGTCCAGGCTTTACAATGCAGGGCCTACCCTGCAGCCATCGCTCGAAATTGTGGGTTTGTACTTGCTGTTTCGATCGAGGTTTGGCTACTACTCGGAACGTGCGGTTGCTTGATCTGGAGAGAGGAGTTCGTACATTTCTTTTGCAAATGCAGCGTGTGTTTAGCTGAGACTCCCAAACAACAAAAGGTCTGGGAAAGGGTCCCGCACAGGATTGTTTACACAGCTGCACTCGAATAACCCTCTTATGTTTGGATGTCGCAGCACCTCCGTCCAGCAAGGTCATCCAGAGTCGGCCTCTTACCTCACGCTGGCGTTGTGCAAGATGTTTAGCGGCTTGACTTGGGATGTTCCCCCTCATACTAACAGTCCTTATGAGGGATTATAGTACCCCTATTCACCCCCCAATAAGGACTGTTAGTATAAGGAGGTACATTCCAAGGTTTGACCCTACGCCCTAAACCCTAAACCCTTGTGGTTTTGGGATTGGCGCATCTTGTGCTTAGAGTTCACAATTACCGGCCATCCTGGGCGTAGCCATGCGCTGAGGTTGGGAGGGTGTTGTTTGCAAGGTCACCCGCTTGCACAGGCCTCAGCTCATGAAGCACAACGCAGCTTTGTTGATGTTATGGGTTTAGGGTTTCGGGTTTGGGGTGGTTGAACAGCGCGCAGCTGCCCGGGCATCTCGCCAAAGGCACAACCGGACTGCGAGCACAGCTTTCCACAGCATCTTCGGCAGGTGGTCGGGATCTCAAGAGTGCAAGGTGTTGCCGACGCCTGACGCTGACCATCTAATCTGGATACCGAAACACCTGCAACGGGCAGGTGCGGGGTGGGCTTGTCGCGAGCGAGGGAGGGAAGGAGAGAGTGGGAGAGGAGGGAGAGAGAGGGAGAGAGAGGGAGGGAGAGAGAGAGAGCCAGCTGTGTGTAGCTATTCTTTCCTTGCTCACCAGATTACATGGCAGGGCTGAGGGTTTAGGGTTTCGCCACGCCACCGGCAAAGGGTTCTTCTCCGGGACATAGGGCAGGCGGCGACCCGGTGGGGTTGCGGCAATGATTGGGTTTAGGAAGCTGTGGGGCTGTCAGCGCATTGACCCTCAGCTTTCCTAGCTGAGCCGCTGCGGCGTCAAACACAGGGGCAGGCTTGCCCGGTTCTCCCCCATCGCACCACCAAAAGAAAGAAGGCAAGAAGGAAAGAAACGTCTATGCTCGCAGAGACAGAGAGACTGAAACCTCCCCCGAATGACCACTGACATCCCGGACAGGTGGACCATAGGGATGTTGAGCGTTTGAGAGTTGTATCCCCAAAGTGCTGGAAGGTACTCCTGGTTCCGGTCCAACTTGTGGGAGAGGCTGCGTCGACGATTCTACACGGGCTGCGCCATGCTGCGAACGAAATCCTTATTACTTCAATGTTGCTCACCCAAACACTACTCTTGCCTCGCCACCCCGAAGACAGAACACTCAGTTTGAGGGTGTGGGGGTTCTCATGCCAACGACACTAGAAGAGGTTGGTAGACCTTTGTTTGCTATGAGTTTTCTGGGACCCTTCTCAGCATGAAGCCAGACAGACAGCCTTGGCGATAGGGAAACCTCAGCGACTCGGTTTTCCCAAGGGTCCTTTGCACCCCTCCTCACATCCAGGCAGTGGGAACCCTAAACCCTAAACTGGCCCTAAACCCTAAACCCTTCACCCCAAAACCGCCGCTTCAGAAACTAGCAAGCTTTGTTTAGCTGTTGGAGGCTTTTTTTTCTGCGATGTGCGGGTTGGCCACTTTTGCCCACTCCAACCACCCCTCAGACACCCCTAAACCCTAACAAGCCCTTTAAAAAAACTATCCAAGATAACATCCACCTCATGGAACTGAGTTTTGTCCCTAAACCCCAAACCCTAATCCCTCAACCCGAACAAACCCCTAAACCCTGAATCTGACCTGCCAGTGAAGACGTCCTTACGTTCCAGAAGGACGGCAGCGTCGTCACATCAAGAGGCGCGCCGTGCGGTTGCGATGAAGGATGTGTTTAGGGTTTAGGGTTCAGGGTTTAGGGTTTAGGGTTTAGGGTTTAGGGCTGGGCCTAGAGCTGCAGCCCGTTTGGGGGCTTGGGGAACGTTTAGCGTTGAGGTTTAAAAGGCGTGCCAGGCATGTATTGCTGTGTTTCATTCCATCTCTGGCAAGGGCATAAGAAATCCCAGGAGGTGTGGGAGGTTTCAGGACAAAAGGGGTAAGGGGGGTTAGTTCATGCGTAGCCTTAGCATTCGGAGTAAAAAGTTTCAATCTAACTCATGAGTCCTTACAAGTAGGGTTATACGTATATAGGGTAACTGTGGCTGTAGCCTGATTTAGGCTACGTACTTCTAAACCCACTGCTAAGTACCCATGAACCTTCAACTAGTTGATAGGGTTCTTAGGGTGGAACCCATGAACCCTATAACTAGTTCAGTCATGAACCCCTGTGTTAGGGGTTGATGGAAATAATTCTGAATTCAATGGGCTCATAGAAACTCAAGGTTTACCGAGGCTGTGCATCCCGAAACCCCAAACCCTAAAGCCTGGGTTTGTTCCCTGGCTTAGGATTTAGGGTTTAGGATTTAGGTTTGAGGGTTCCCCAGCCCAGTTGAGAAAAAAAGGGTTGTGTCAGGTCTTGGCAAGTGGCACCTGGACCGATCACAGGACATGGGCTCAGGGTACGGAGGGTTTAGGGTTGAGGGTTCAGGCTTCCAGTGAGCCATTGCCACAGCTGTGTCAACGTATCCCCACCACGCATCATACGAAAGCAATCCCCAGCAGACAAGGGAGCATCTATGGCCTCGGATGTGACTTGTAGAGGTTAGGGTTTAGGGTTTAGGGTTTAGGGTTTAGGGTTTAGGGTTTAGGGTTTAGGGTTTAGGGTTTAGGGTTGTTGCGAGCTTGAACCATCTTCGTGGCTCATGAGTGGCTCAAGACCACGCTGTAGAGTGCTGCACAACAGCCTCGACGTCAATCTAGCAGAGCAACCAATTTCCATGCCCGGCACTGGCCATTACTTCACCTTAGCCACCCAACAAAAAGGGTTTAGGGTTTAGGGAGGCAAGTCCTATCTGAACCTGATTCCACTGATCCGCACGATACGCGCAAGGTAAGTCTTTACAGAAGCCAGTTGCGGACTGAGCTTAGGGTGTGTCGCTAGCGTCTTCCGTGGAAGACCTGTGCGGAGCACTCAGTGTGTCTGTGGTCTGGGAAGTCACATAGGGGCCTGAATAATTAGAACAAGATTTTGGGGTAGTATAGTTATAAAGGCACCATAAGGGAATACTATTAGTAGCTATTCCGAACCCTGTATTAGGAGGTTTCCTATGACACCAGGCGGCTCCCCTGCCTTGTAACTAGTGACCCGTGTGGGGGTTTCCGAAATTAGGGGGTATCTCATTTCGGGGTCTTATTGCAGGGGAATCTTACTACGATTTGGGGTTTACATTTGGGGTCCCTGATTTCCGTGAAACTCCCATGCTAAAGCAGAAGCGCAAAGCAGTGTGCAGCCCTAAACCCTAAACCCTAAACCCAGTTGTCTCAGACCCGACACGTGCAGCCTACGAAGGCCCGTGTCTGCGATGAGCAGGGCAGTGCCGAAATCTTCTTCGGATCCTTGGTGAGCTGAATGAGTACACCCTTACACTTTTGGGGGTACGATAATCCCCCTATAGAACTGAAAGTGTACACTTTTTTTGGTGCCTAAGAATAATCCCCTCTAGAACTGCAAACCCTAAACCCTAAGCCCTAAAACCTTTTTTTGGACACTAGAAAAGGTGCACAGGGTTGCTTTAAAAAAAATTGTGCCGATGCTGAGGATCAGTGGCAAGCTATGAGTCCAGGCTCCCCGGGTTTTGGGAATCCGAGGGCCTTTTTCACCTTTGGAGCCTAAGAGGGTTTAGGGTTTAGGGTTTAGGGTTTAGGGTTTAGGCATAGTACTGGCTAGACCCTCAGTCCAGTGGCAAAAGGGATGACATGCCCCCCGTGCGACGCGGATATGCCTATGAGGGTTCTATGGGATTCCATGGGCTGTACACCCTTTTTGGGGGTTCAGCTAGTCGCAGGGCCTGAGCAGGTCTGCGCTGGGTCCCGTGGTGGTTTTTGCTAAGTCTGGCTTTGGCGGGTTCCCTTGAGAAGGGTCGCTATAAGACAGCCAAGCCGGGTTAAGAAAGCGTGCATCATACTGCGCAAATTCTGTTGCAGATGGAGTGGGCTGCCCACCCCCCCCCGACCAGCCCCAACCACCCCACCATGAAAAAGCCAAGAAAAAGCCCAAATTTTTTAATCGGCTTCACAAGCACGATATCGCGTGCAGAAACCAGGCAAGTGGAAGCGCAGTACTATTTGGGGGCGGTTGAACAGATTTGGAGCTGTGAGCCCGGAAAACGCGTGGACAAGATGTGTCACGCAAACGAGTGCGAGCCGGGCCTACTGTAACAAAGAATCACCTCGGCCTGCTTTCGGGTGTCATCTACTATTTGCTGAAGAACCCCCACAACAAAAGATCATAATCCCTATACATGTCTTATAAGGAAGATTTTTTTAAAGGGGGGGGGGGGAGGTTCTTAAGCACTTCGTAGTAATGGTGGCCATCACAAGTTGTCGGGTTCCATTGTTTTGCATTTTTCGATGACACGGCTTGAAGATGTTTCCTCATGCGAGCTTCGAAGTCCACTCACATGTACACCCAAGCGTACCCGAGATGAAGCCTTTTTGCATGCACACGCTGTTGAGAAGTGGAAGTTTCGTGCGAACAATTAGGTGCAGGTTGATATCGCGCAGGGTAGATGAGATGCAGCGCTCTTGGCGTTGCACTTCACTTATACCGCTCACGGTCTCAAATCCTAAAAACACCTAAAACCCCTAAACCCTGAACCCTAAACCCTCAACCCTAAAAAAGCACCTAAACACCCCCTGAACACTAAAAAACACCTAAAAAACTCTGAACCCTAAACCCTCAACCCTGAAAGCCTTTCGCAGGCAGTTACCGGACTTCGAGTCTGCTACCAGCCTGCGGGTTTTGGATTTAGGGCTTGAGGTTTAAGGGCAAAAAGGGTGTGAGGTTTAGGGTTTAGGGTTTAGGGTTTAGGGTTTAGTGTGCGGTTGGGATGTTGCCCCTATATAACCGTCCTTAGCAGGGATTCTAGTACGGGGGGGGGGGGGGTACTAGAATCCGTACTACGGACTCTTAGTATACGGGGGAACATCCCAAGTTTGAGGTCGGTCTGGTGTTTAGGGTGGACATGGCCCATGCCTGCCTGGCACTTTCACAGAATGTTTCTTAGGATGACTACTAATTGCTTAAGAACCTCGAAACAAAAAGAAAAGCATTCTTCCTTTTTGAGGGTAATATATAGGGATTATCATGCTTTATTCTTTCGGGGTTCTTAAGCAAACAGTAGATGAGCATCCGGATGATCATCCCCAACATCCCCCCCCCCCCCCGAGACCCAAATTCTGAACTTTACGCATAAATCGGTTTGTGAGTGCAGAAACAAAAGTATCGCAGCTCGCGACTTAAAATCAGAAGTAATCATGATTTACGAGACACAATTCAGGAGTAGATCGTTTTTACGAGTACACTCCCCCGAGGAGGCCCGACGGGGAGGTTCATGGGCATGATCATCCCCATACACCCAGAGACTCCAAAACCCCTTAATTAAGGAATATACCTTAAATTAGAATAGGAACCCCTATATTCCTTAATTAAGGGGTTTTGGAGTCTCTGGGAACATGGGAGTTTACGACACAAAAGGGGCCCCCCATACTAGATCCCCCAATTATTAGGATTCCCTTACGTGCTGAGGCTAGGAGGGGACGAGGATGCCGATCCCGACTTCGAAGAGATGGTGGGGGCCCTTGGCTTCTTCAGGGTATCCGGAACCCTAAACCCTAGCCCTAAACCCTAAACCCTAAACCCTAAACCCTAAACCCTAAACCCTAAACCCTAAACCCTAAACCCTAAACCCTAAACCCTAGCCCTAAACCCTGAACCCTTTTCTTCTTGTGGGAGGCCTGGGATCCACATGTCCGAGTTTCAGATTTACATAGGCATGGTGGAGGTTGAGGCAGTTTAAGGTTGAATGAAGCGTTTGGGTTTCGGTTAGGGTTTAGGGTTCAGGGTTCAGGGTTTAGGGTTTAGGGTTTAGGGCGAAAGAGGTTGAATGTCGGGAGGTTTCATGTTTGGGCTTTCAGGGTTTCGCGCTGGGGCTTAGGATGCTGTTTTGGGCTTACACGGGTTTAGGGTTTAGGGTTTAGGGTTACGGTTTCGGGGTGTAACGGGGGAGCGGGACGTCCGGCCGCCGACCTCGCGCGGTTTAGGGTTTAGGGCTTTAGGGCTTTAGGGTTAGGGTTTTAGGGTTTTAGGGTTTTAGGGTTTTAGGGTTTTAGGGTTTTAGGGTTTTAGGGTTTTAGGGTTTTAGGGTTTTAGGGTTTTAGGGTTTTAGGGTTTTAGGGCTTTAGGGCTTTAGGGCTTTAGGGCTTTAGGGCTTTAGGGCTTTAGGGCTTTAGGGCTTTAGGGGCTTTAGGGCTTTAGGGCTTTAGGGCTTTAGGGTTTTAGGGTTTTAGGGTTTTTGAGAGTCTGGGTTTGGCGAGGACTTAGCTAGAGTGGGGTAGAGAGTTTGACGCAACCCTTCATTTCTCTAGTGCGCTTCTTTGTTTCTCGTGGATCCAACTGAGCACAGCCCCCTTACACAGCGAAAGTAAAAACCACAACCCTGCGCACGCCAAAAAAATAAAAATCTCTGGCACGCAAGAACGCGAACTCTGCCCCACACAGCATGCAAAACAACACGAGCCCGCAGAAAAACGACGCCCAGCAGGAAGTGGATTTTAAAACTCGTGGCCCTGCCACACCCTTTTCTTTATCCGTATTGTAAATTCAGGGAACTTCGGGGTGGGAGTTTTTTTTTTGAAGGAGGGCTATGCGGCGATACGCTCATCAGCTTCTCTACAGTCTGGAATGTGCTGCTGCGAATCCAGGTGAGCGATCTGCGTCGCAGCTTCGTCGGCTGGCTGAAGAAGGCTGAGCTTGAGCTGAAGCAGCACCGCAGCGATGTGAGGCCGGAGAAGGGAAAGCTAAACCCTAAACCCTAAACCCTAAACCCTAAACCCTAAACCCTAAACCCTAAACCCTAAACCCTAAACCCTAAACCCTAAACCGTCTGAGTCCGAGGGCTCTAGGAAAGACACCAGTTGGCCGAATTTGAGTCGTGAAAGCTTGAAAGCTCCTTGCTTGGGGAGCTCAAGTAGTTGGAGTTTCTCCGAGTTGGCAAAGCCGATGCCGCAATCCGTAAACCCCAAACCCTAAACCCTAAAGCCCTAAACCTTAAACTCTAAAACCCTAAATCCCTTCAACCCTAAAACCCCAAAACCCCTGGGAAAGCAGAACTCTGGAGGCGAGGGCGGCAGGCCTTCGAGGAGGACCTGCGGGTTGAGCTGCTGTGCTTGGCAGCCCAGTGGTACCCTTTACCCTTTTTGTGGGTTTAGGGTTTAGGGTTTAGGGTTTGGGTTATGGGTTCCCTTATAAAATAAGCCCGCCATTAAAAGGGTGACCTTATTACAGTATGGTTGCTGGGCTACCAAGTGTGTTTATAGCTTTTTGGCACCCCGGTGGGTTGGGATGCTTCCCCCTTCTACTAACAGTCCTTAATAAAAAATTATAATACCCTCTCCCGCAGACATATATATATATATATATATAAAGTATAAACAATCTACCTATGCAAAAGGTTATACGTGCCCAAGTCACCCTACTTATAGCCCCACAACCTACAACTGCCCATGAACCTTCAAGTAGCCAGGAGAAGCTGTCGGTTTGGCAGCAGTTTGTGGCGGAGAAGCAGCGGGAGGCAACACCCAAGCGCGCCATGCCGCCATGCCGGGCCATGTTTAGGGTTTAGGGTTCAGGGTTTAGGGTTTAGGGTCAACTAGGGTTGAGGGAGTTGAGGGCTTCATATGTGGGGCTTGTGTGCTTCTGGAAAACTTGCAAGGCCATCGCTCCACAGAAGGGGGAGGGGGGGGGGCTTTCAGGTCCCAGATTTTTGCCATCTTGCAGTCAGTAGCAAGGGGCTTTTTAGGGAAGACCCGCAGGTGGAGAAGATCCGTGAAGACCGGCGCCACGCCGAGGATGAGATGGCGACACAGCTCAGGCTGGGTTGTCTCAGGGCTCAGGGAAGATCGGCTCCGACACCACATTGCAAAGAGCAGGCGCGCAAAACAGCAGATGGCAAAGCACTACATGCGCCATCCGCAAGACCGGCGAAAAGCTTCTAATCCCAGCTAGGCTGGAGGCAAAGAAACCCTAAGCCCCAAACCCCAAACCCTAAACCCTACAACCTAAACCCTAAGCATCGAGCAGGCAGGTTCAAGCGGACATCGAAGAGTCCAGGCAGCGCATCAGCGAGGAGCGCATGCGCGTGGCCTGGGCGTTAGACCCTAAACCCTAAACCCTAAACCCTAAACCCTAAACCCTAAACCCTAAACCTCAAACCTCAAACCCTAAACCCTAAACCCCTCACCCTAAACCCTAAACAGGTGGAGCACGGAGGTTCGGTTTGGGGCAGTTGCTTCACTCGCGCTATGTGCATGTCCTCCGGGGCGTGATAAGACTGCACAAGACGGCACACCCCAACCCGAACTGTACCCCTACATCCCTGAACCCGAGACATCAAAAAGCGGAAAACCCAACGGCCCTAAACCACATACCCCCGCCTTGCCTAAACCCCGAAAAGTGTAAAAGCCCTGAACCCCACGTTTCCCAAAGCCCCTAACCTCCCCGAATTTCCTTGGGTCCTGGACCGAGATCGGCTGGAATCTGGAATTCAGGTTTCGCTGAGAGCCAAGAATACCTGAAACCCAAACCTTCCCAAGCCCTCAGCCAGCTTCACCCAGGTCGAACAGGAGGGTGCGCAGCGAAGGAGGGGAGTGGCGCACGAGTACGAGAAGTTCCGTTGGGCATCCCAGAACCCAACGCAAAGGTGCTTTAGAGGGTTGAGGGCTTTTGGGGATGTTGAGGGTTTAAGGTTTTTTGGGGTTTGGGATGTTTCGGGCTTTGGGATGTTTAGGGTTTAGGGTTTAGGGTTTAGGGTTTTGGGTGTTTGAGCCACTCGTGTCTGACATGTGGAGGATGCCGAGGGCCGACGGTTTTCCAGCATCCGCAGAGATCGACCATCAGGGCTTCTTGAGGTTGCAGAGGTTTGTACTGGAACCCTAAACCCTAAACCTTAAACCCAGGTTTGGAAGGTCTGGTTGTGGGTTCAGACTTTGTGCCCGGATTTCAGCCGACGCTCTCTGCCTGTAGATGTTTGCACAATTAAAATTGAGAGTCACAGGCCTCTGCACTGCAACTAGGGATTGTGGTTGAAGCATCGAAGTATAGCGTGCGGTGGCCTTTCCGAAATTGGGGTACCTTATTGGGGTCCGTATTATTGTGGTTGTGTGTGATTTCGAGAGATGTCCCTCAGTGTGTTACCTGCTGTGTGCGAGAGCGACGAATGCCGTAAACCATTATGACTAGTCTGATGATTCTTGTTAATTATGGCTACCATGACTATTATGACGATTATTCCTATTATTGCTACTATTGCTATTAGTGCAATGATTACTATTCTTACTATTCTGACTATTAATACTAGTATGATTAGCAAGAATTACTAGCCTTTAACCCTTGCAGAACCGAGGTCAGGAGTACGGGCTCTTCGAGACAGAGCGGCAACGCCTGGCGAACCCCCAGCTGGCAGCTGAGACGACCGTGGACCTGAACGTGGGAGGCCGCCTTCTTCCTGCTATTCTTGGTGTTATTATTGCTACAGATTCTTAGTTGATTCTGATTATGGTCATTTTTATGACTATTGTTATTCTGATGTTCATTATGATTAGTTACTATGATTCTGGTTCTTGCCATTATGATGATGTTTAAGGTAGATCCTGTGGTGTTTAGATTGGGTTGATTTGTGCTCTATGTGAGCTTACGTTGCGTTGCGGCTTCTTGGGGTTTTCTGAGTTCAGGGAAGTTCAGGGCCGGTACAGGAGAGAAGGTCTGAGAGGCTGTAAGAGCTAGAGTTGATACTAGAGCTGAACTTTAGCCTTCGCGACCCTAAACCCTAAACCCTAAACCCTAAACCCTAAACCCTAAACCCTAAACCCTAAACCCTAAACCCTAAACCCTAAACCCTAAACCCTAAACCCTAAACCCTAAACCCTAAACCCGAACCCTAAACCCTAAACCCTGAACCCTAAACCGCCGCTTCTTTGTAGCTGCCGTGGGTGTCAACTCTTGGGAGGTACGATCTTTGAGACGACCAGGTCCACGCTGGTCCAGCAGCTTCCTCATTTCATCACTGGCTTTGGGGCCACTGCTTGGCTACAGCTCTAGACTTTTATATATACGAATATGGTGTGTATATATATATAATATGTGTGTGTATGAATCTATGTATGTCTGTCTGTCTGTCTGTATTTGGGTGATAATTCGTGCTGAGCGAAGTTTCAAGACGTCTCAGGGTCCCAACTCTGACACAGTCCACCGCAATCCCGTTGCCCCGTAGATCCCTTCACTAATAAAGTTTAGGGTTTAGGGAAACTATGATAGGGTTCAGGGTTTAAGGTAACTATTATAGGGTTAGGGTTTAGGGTGAACTACTATAGTCGCTTGCTCTCGCATCCTTCGGTTTCTTGACCCATCGACCGGCGTCCACATTGGGGAGAACTGCGTTCCCCAGAGTTCCTCTCCTGGTGTGCCAAGGTCGGCCTGGCGCCGGCTTCTACATTGAAGCAGGGTTTATATTTCTGTTTTTGGTGAGTGTATATAAGGTTCCTTTTGCATATTGGTGAGTGTATATATTGGGTGTCCTTTTGGGGGTACAAGAAATACGTACCCTACTTCATGTCTTCGGGAGATGCAAGTTAAGTAACGGATGATGGCGGGGTGTGGTCTCGGTCACCCTGATCGCCGCCGCCACAACTCGACCAAGCCCCCGGCAGTTTATGTTTAATCGAGTTAGGGATTCCTCAGTTAGTTGATTTTCGAGCGTCTCCCTGGTGATTAGCTGTTGAAACATAGTCAAAATACACTAAACACATTTTCAAAACGCTGGCGTCCGCAGCAAACCCGGCAGTTTGACCCATGTTGGCTGTTTGCCTGAATTCCAGCGTCTACATGGGGATTGCTGTGTCCTGATGTGTATTTCTGCCGCTGATGTGTATTCCCGCTATGTAGCTTCCACAATGCGGTGATGTGTATTTCTCGCGACCTGATGTGAGAAAAGCCCGCCTAGGGTTTAGGGTTAAATATTACTGTTTAGACCCTCGAAGAAAAGTTGCTTTTGTCTGGACCCTCCGGAGAGCCGCCTTGCCGAGGCAGTCTGGCAGCTTCCTGGAGACCTTGCTCTCTGGCCGGTATCAGATCCTTAGTGGCTGAATGAGTACACTTTACACTTTTTGGGAATACTAGAGTACTAGAGTCCCCTATATAACTGAAAGTGTACAGTTTTTGGGGGGCTTCTGAACTCAGCAACTAAGGATCAGCCGCGACCGCCTTTGGTCCGCAGCATCATGGGGGTCAGTTTTTGCACCTCATACTCGTAGGACCCGGTGTTGAGCTGTGAACCCTAAACCCTAAACCCTAAACCCTAAACCCTAAACCCTAAACCCTAAACCCAATGTGCCAGCACCGCCCTTCGAGGGTTTCGGATTCATGATCTACTCTTTGCTTAAGAACCCCCAAAAAACTGAAACGACTCTTCCTTGTAAGGGCAATATAGGGATTATCAATTTGTTATTCTATGGGGGTTCTTAAGCAAATAGTAGTGATTAGGGCCGGTGGAGGGCGCGTAGGGCCGGTTAAATCCTCAGACCAGTGCCAAGTGCAAAGGCTATGGCCGGATCTTCCTGAACCGACGCTTGCCCGCAACCAGGGGGGGCTTGAGCCCTAAACCCTAAACCCTAAACCCTAAACCCTAAACCCTAAACCCTAAACCCTAAACCCTAAACCCTAAACCCTAGACCCTAGACCCTAGACCCTAGACCCTAGACCCTAAACCCTAAACCCTAAACCCTAAACCGACTCTCGGGTTGAGAGCTCTTTCACGCCTAGCCTATGTCCTGTGGTTCTTGCACGGATCGCGCGCGGCCCTCGGAACATGCAGCAGAAGCCTGTTAAAGCTAATGGTTGATGAGCAAAACTGGGGCTGAGCAAAAATTGGGTTTGCGGAGTCAGGTTTGAGAATGTAAGGTAGAGGGTTTAGTGAGACATTCCCTGAAGAACAAGCTGGGACCACACGATCTCGAAGGGGGGAGGTCGATGTACGCTGTTCGAAGTTTCATGTAGAGGGCCGCAAATGGCGTGAGAAAAGGCACCTTTTCTATATACCCCTGGGGAATTATTTTTTGTTTAAACCCAAGAGGACATGACAAACATTAGTTTTATTCAGGTTCTAAGGGGAGTACAGTGCTTGCATGATAGGGCAGCGTACCTTGAGCTTCTGTTGCAAGCCTTTTGGGCCCTTACCCGCTCGGTGGGGTTCCTGAAGCGCGCCGGTGATCCGATGCCCTAACCTGGCTAGTCGGGTGCCAAAACATTCCCAGGTGATCCGGAGCATTTCAGGACGATCCTCAACTTCCTGCGCAATCCGTAGCCTGGCTGAAAGCACAACGCATCTTGCTTTATTTTCATATTACTATACTGTTTTCTTATCGTCTTTGTACTACTACATATTCTCATATTCTGATACTACTACAGTCGTATATTTTTGTACCATGCATATATATATATATATATCAACCTTCGGTAGTATCACCCAGGGGCCACGAACCTAGGTGCGCTGCAGCGTTCGCGCTGAGCTCGATTCTGTACAGTAGATGACTAGTATTGCTTTTATTTCCTATACATGGATATATATATATATATATCTTTTTAGCTCCCCACCGTCGGTGTGGGGTTGTTGGATTTTAAACTCAACTCTTCTCCTCACCCGGTTTACTCTTCGCCCAACCCTAGGGTGCCTAACCCTAGAGTGTCCTTGGAGTGTCTATCCCCAGAGTGTCCCTGGAATACCTAACCCCAAAGTGTCTTTGGAGTGCCCAACCCGTGAGTGTCCCTGGAGTGCCTAACCCCAAGTGTTCCCAGCCTTAGTGTGCCGCTGGATTGCCCAATCCTAGAGTGTCCCTGGAGTGCCCAACCCCAGAGTATCTCTACCCAGAGAGAGTGGGGATGTTCTAGTATCTTTCAGGCAAACCCCACCCATGCCGCGGGACGCTGCCGAGTCCGAGGCACTGATTCAGGACACGGCTACGGGAGAACGCGATGGGATCTTTGGGTTTGCGGACGGAATGAAGCGAGTTCGGGTTTAGGGTTTAGGGTTGTGGTCCATATGGGGCGGGGCGGGTGATCTAGGGGCCCTTCTGGGAATTTAATTTAGGGTTCCTATTGGCTTTGTCAGGGACTATATAAAGGGCAATTGCGAACAGTACTATGATCAACTCCCATATGCTGTAGTCGTGATTCGGGCGCACAGGCTTCATGTGGTGCCCAGGATTAGGGGCTTTGGGAGAAAAAGGATAGAGCTTCAGGGTTCAGGGCCCCTAAACCTTAAACCCTAAACCCATAGAGCTTCAGGGTTCAGGGTTGCTAGGGTTTTGGGCCAGGCTTGGCCTAGGCCCAGACCAGGACTAGAGAATCAGGAGAAAGGTGTGCCAAGTAGATGCCGCAGGGGTCGGAAGAACTACGAAAAATATTTTCCCTTTGGCCCCTTGATAATTATACAATAATAACCCCCAAAACCCTCTTCTGGTCCCGATGATGTGCTGGTTCACAGTGCAGTCGCGCTCAGCTGCTCAGACTCAGAGATAGCGCCGAGCAAAACCCTCTTTTCTGATGATTGATATTAAGGACCCGATACTACACATCACGGACTTGTCTGGTGATATGTGTCATTACTTGCTGCCGCCTCTCACTGTGCAGGAGGCTACGTACTACGGCGTGCACTTCTTTCCGTTTCCGCCCCTTGCCACAGACGAATGAGCAACCCTAAGTCCCGAGGCAAAGGTTTAGGGTTTAGGGTTTAGGCTTTGGGATTTAGGGTTTAGGGTTTAGGGTTTAGGGCTTAGGGTTTAGGGTTTAGGGTTTAGGGTTTAGTCCGCCCTACCTGAACCCTGGATCCGAGTGCATGCAGCAATCCAGGAAACGAGCGCATCAACACCCATGGGCCCACTGATACGATGATGCCACTTTATGATTATAGCGATATATTCTTATACTATGACATAAGTGTATTCCGAGTATGTTACTATGGCAGTAGGTTATACTATTATGCTATTTCACGATCTCGATCCTCAGTGCCGCTTGAAACCCCCAGTCACCAGCCCAGGTTGGTGTTCGCGGCGGGGGGGCACGACGGCTATGAGCATCTTCGGGCAATGGAGGCGAGGTGCGGTCTAGGGTTTAGGGTTTACGGTTTAGGGTTTAGGCCAGCGCGAGACTCCGCAAAGCCTGCTCCAAAAAGGAGGAGGGAGTAGGTGCAGTGCGTGGCCAGAGTGTTCCTAGAATAGAAGGTATCCCTTGAGATCCCATGCTATTTCGCACTTGAAGGTCCTGGATGTTGGGAATCAGTGCTGGCGGCCCTGTCGAGCTATGTCAACAGCTCCTCGGTCCGTCATGGGGGGCTTTAGGACATCGAGGGGTTGACCCTAAACCCTAAACCTAAACCCTAAACCCTTTGAGAGTTGAGGTTTAGGGTTCTAGAGGATCATTGGTTGGCGAGTCTTGGCAAGCTTTTGGAAGAAGGGCTGGCTGCAAGAAGCTGAAGAGGAGGTCGGGTGAGCAAGCGAATTCAATGAGCTTCTATGCAGGCAGAGTTTTCTTGCCCTAAACGTAATCAGATATAATATAGAAAGGTGCATATATATATATATATATACATGTATACATATATATATATATATATATATACATAAATATGCACTCTAGTATGATATATTATACCACAGTACAAGAAACTATAGTACAAGATGATATATTTCATCTGGTAGAAACGGCAGGAACGTACTTACTTCGGCGCAGCAACGCTGCGGAACCGCTTGCACGTTTATGGTGGCCAGAACTTGGACTACAAGGCTCATCAGAGTGTGGGTTTTCGGGGCTTTGGGGTTTAGGGTTTAGGGTTTAGGGTTACGAAATTCCGGGTTCAAAAGGGTTTAAGGTGTAGGGTGTAGTGCTTCGCTTTCTGAGGTTTCATTTGTAATTGGAGCATGTGTTTGACTCTCATCCATGAACCTTGAGGGGTCCTCTACTGTAGAGTATCACTTAAGCCAACACTCCGGCATGGAGCTCAGTTCCGGTTTCAAAAAGGGTTAGGGTTTAGGGTTACGAAATTTTGAGAAAATTGAAAACGCCAAGAGCTATTACTTCCTGTCGTGTCATCATCTTTCCAGACATGGCATTCCAAGTTGCATGGCGTGCACCCCCTGGAAAAGTTGCATGCCGTGCAAGTCTTGGCACTGGCTTTAAGCTGGCTTTAAGTTGGCTGCATTAAAGTTGATTTGAGGTTGCCCTAGCCATGCAGTTTCATCTCATGACTGGTTATCAGCCTTTCTGGGAGGCGCTGTGCGACGTCGAGATCTACGACTGCCTTCGGGACACATGGGAGGCAACTTGGCAAGATGCCCCGGGAAGTCCAGGGCACCCTCAGTCATCTTAGTCCCTTCTTCAAGGCTCCAAACCCTAAACACTAAACCCTAAACCCTAAACCCCAAACCCCAAACCCCAAATCGCTGGGCCTAGCCCAACGCTTGATGACGGAGCAGTCCGTCGAAACCCTCTCCATATGTAACACCCCAAACCCCTCCAACCCATTCAAGCCCCGGAGTAGATTGCAATACCCTAAGCCCTAAACCCTAAACCCCAAAGGGGAAGAAAACCGGACAACGGACTGAAAGGGTTTTCGGTTTCGGGTTTTGGGGCATAGGGTTTAGGGTTTAGGGTGCCCACGCCCCCCAAACGCAGGTAGTTACCCTAAATCCTAAACCCTAAAACCCAACTTTGTTTACCTCACGATAATATATTCAGGTAAAGGATAATGTAAAATTTTGTAAAACGCTGAGGCCGGTTCAGCCATGCGTTTCCCACGCCGCAACTGCGCAAGCTGCGAGCTCGAGGGGCGAGTCTACGCTTTGGGAGGTGGGGGGAGGGGAGGGAGGGGGGAGGCTGCATATGAATGTGTGTATCGGTGTACATGTATACATATATATATATATATGTATACGCACATATACATATGTTTGTACTACGCCAGACCTCCACGCGCTCTCTTTCTCTTTATCTTTCTCTTTCTTTCCTTATTAATTATGTCCTTTCGTGCTTTCTTTCCTTCTTGATTTCTTTTTCTTTATGTTTCTTCCTTCTCTTTTCTTGCCTGTTCTTCCCCTTTCTTTTCTTTTCTTTTTTCTCTTTGTTTCTCTCTTTCTTGCATGATCGCTCACTGGGGGCCGATACTGAAAGAAAAACAGCAGGAATTCTTCTGATCCCAGTAAGGTTTTTAGGGAAATATTCACAGTTATTGTAAGGCAATTGAACAGAACACGATCCAGCAGTGTCCAGGCTTCGACGGATCCCGCATCTTGAACTCCGTGGAGGCGCGGTTGTGGTGTGGGTATAGGGTTTAGGGCTCCGGTCAGTTGCTCCACAAGCTGCTCCACATCTTTGCTAAGCTACCTCGCCGGCTTTTGTGCGGATGTGGTGCTGGCACGGCCGAATCAAACAGCCTGCCTTTGTTACCATTGTTCTGCCGGTCTTGAGATATTCCAGAGCGACCGGCCTAGGATCGGGCTGGCTTGTTTAACAGGGCAGTGTGCTTCATGAACAGTTGGCCCTCTAGAGGTCTAGTCCATGAGGGTTTAAGGGTTTAGGGTTCAGGGTTTAGGGTGTAGTGTTTAGGGTTTAGGTATAAGGCCCCTTTTAGAGGCTTGGAGCATGCTGGGTGAACTTACACAGTAAGAAACAATCCTTATGACCATGCACCGTCGCAGTATCGCCCGGCAAGGCCTATGACAGTCGTCTCAAGAGCTGGATGCAAATGGCCCTTTGGCAATCACAGATGTGTGGTGTGTTTAGGGTAGGTGCTTTTTAGTCGTGCTCGTGCGCGATACCAGGGCCCTAGAAGTGACCCTTATTTCAGGATACCCCCGTCAGTGCATGGAAAGCCGCTCCCGAAACGTGATGCTCGCATAGCGTCTGAACAACCTGAAATCAAGGGAGTCATACTCGGACCCCTAATCCTCCTAAAATGGCCCTTATCTTCCCGTACGCGGCGGGACACCCTGAAATCGAAACTTCAGTTCAGAGTGAAGGGCATCCAGGCATAGCAAAGGGACAAGCTTTCGCTGCTCTCTTTTTCGTTTCGATCCCTTCTTCCGATCTTCTCCACCTATTCTCTTGCCCGTCTCATGAATGAAGTGAAGTAAGCATAAACTAGGACCCAGAGTAGGCCCTTGTTCCTTTTTGGGGGCTTTTAGGTTCCCTTAAACGGCCCTTCAACCCAACAAGGGCACCCTTGTATTCCTAGGTTGCGCAACAATAAAAAACCAGGCACAGGCTTTGTGAGCTTGAGGTTTTAATCACAGGGCCGGTTCCTGGCAAAACAAGGAGGACCCTAAACCCTAAACCCTTGAAACCCTAGACATCCCTAGACCTCACAGCCCACAACGATCGCCGGGCCTCCACGATGTTGCATGCCAGTTCCGGGGGTCGCAACTGCTGGGTTTGAAGTCGGCCTGTTCCCTGCTCACGGTTTAGGGTTTAGGGTTTAGGGTTGAGGGTTGAGGGTTGAGGGTTTAGGGTTTAGGGTTTAGGGTTTAGGGTTCAGGGTTTAGGGTTTAGGGTTAGTGTTTGTTAACCCTTAGAATCCTAAGCAAGAATGCCACCTGGCCCCAGGAGCCATTGCCGACACCTCGCTCTTCTGCGATGGCGACCACGAGTGGAGGTAAAGTCTGGGTCCTGGGCGGCACGTCGGGGACCAGGTGCGGACTGAGGGCTTAGGGTTTAGGGGTTAGGGTTTAGGGTTTGGTGTTTGGGCATTTGCCAGGATACATTGTGCCGTGCGCAAAGCATTCTAGGCCCGGAAGCCAGAAATCACATCGCAAAGCAAGCACCAAGTGTTCGAGTGGCTCAAAAATGACACAGCCATGGGCGGAGTAGTGGAGTGGTTGCTGTACACCCTAAACCCTAAATAAACCGCCTGAACCCTAAACCCTAAATAAACCGCCCAAAAAGCAAAGAATGCAGTTGATGACTATTCGCCAGGCTCAACACCGTCGATGTCTTTGACCCCCGTGCCAATCGCTGGGAGGCGCCTCAAGTCATGATCCCTTTAGATGTCGATCTCTAAACCTGAACGCGGCAAAGGCCCTAGACCATAATGGCGACCATAACTACTATTTGCGTAAGAACCCCCCCCCCCCAACAAAAAAAAAAAAACAAGAAAAAGAGAGAAAACACATACAAAATATGCTTCCGTTTAAGGGTGCTATAGGGGCGGTTCTTAAGCAAATAGCAGATAAATCAGAAGCACAACCTGGATCCCTGAATTAAACCCGAAGTCCTTGAACCCCAAGCCTCACGCTTTGACCTGCGCGCGCACAGGCATTGAAGACCGAGATGGCGGAGGTCCGTTCGGCGGGACAGGCTTGCCATGCCAACCAAAAAGAACCTAAATCCTAAACCCTAAATACTAAACCCTAAACCCTAACCCTACCATAAACCTTCAACCCTAACCCTATGCCCCACCCACCCAAAAATAGTTGGGGGGGGGGGGTAGGGGATGCTGCTGGGGTGCAGTGATGAGTACAAAATCCAGCAAATTCCAAGGCCGACACCAGTCGCAGCATCCGAAGACCCCGGGCTGAACTCCTTTCATCACTTTCAGCGCATCTTCTTCGGGGCTTATAGGGTATGTAGGGATTATAGGGACAAAGGGGTTTTATAGGGTTTTTAGGGTTAATCAGGGCATCTGGGACTCATAAGGTTCTGAAAAAGAGATATTCAGACCCGCAGGCTCCACACGGCAAACGTAAAGTCGCAATGGATTAAGGTTTAGGGTTTAGGGCTTAGGGTTTAGGGTCAGTTGGGTCAGTTCAGGCTGCCAACTGCGTCCACCATGTCTTTGCACTGGGTGGGACCGATGAGGATCAGAGGAGCGAACATGGAAGGGAACGGCAGTTGGTCTTTTTAGGCGCTTGGGAATTGAGGCCTTTTTTCGTTCCGCTTGTTTGACCTTGCAGTGTGTGGTCATCATGAGTTGGGAATGCTCTTGACTACCTACCTGTGTGCGGCTTTGCGGCTGCAGGCTCTGAGCCCTAAACCCTAAACCCCATGCGCTTCAGTGTTTGGTGTGAGACCAGGATCCACTTCTCGGCCGAATGCTTAGACCCGGATGAGAACCGGTTCAGTCAGCGCGCGCCGATGCAGGAGTGGGCTTTTGTGGGGTTTTAGGGTTTTAGGGTTCTAAGGTTTAGGGTTTAGGCTTTTGTGGGGTTAGGATCTCTGTCCCGGAATCCCCTCCGCCTAAGATTCAACACCCCTATACGTACTGTTTGCACTCACCCCACGGCTTAGGGTTCAGGGTTTTAGGGTTCACATGCTACATAAGTATTAGCTGATTGTGAGGGTGCAGGGTGGCTAAGCTGGTGGGCTTTCATGGGGGCTTCAAATTGAGAGCGATCATATGTGAACAGTGCCATACAGACCTTGCTGACACATGAGTCGCAAACACGGTATATAGTCGCCACACTGACTACATTTGACTGAGTAGTTTGCCTGTTCTTCCCCTGTGCCTCTCTCCCTCCCTCTCTTCCCCTCTCCTTCGCTCCTTCTCCCTATCTCACTTTCTTTAGTTTTCTCTCTCTCTCTCTCTCTCTCTCTTTCTCTCGCCATCTCACTTCTCATAGATAAATAGCTCGGATGCGTACGGCTACTGGCACACATGATTCCGCGTGGCTGAACGATTGAAGCCACTGCAGCGGCCTGGTCCCAAGTCCGAATTCCTTAAATGGGAGTTTACGGTGTTTTGGGGTCCTTACTCTAAGGGAATCCTACTATTTGGGGGTCTATATTCGGGGCCTCTTGTTTTGGTCAACCCGCACATCAAGCTGCTGCCAATCTAAAAACCCTAAACCCTCAACCCTTAACCCTTAACCCCTAAACCCTAACCCTTAAACACGAACGAGAAAGCCGGGCCAGGAATCAAGAATGGACTTCGCCGCAGCAGTGATCTCCGATTCGATCATGGCCCCTCGTTTAGGGTTTAGGGTTTAGGGTTCAGGGTTTAGGGTTTAGGGTTTAGGGTTTCAGCTCATGACCGAAGACCCAGGAAACCCTAAACCCTAAACCCTTGTCAAAACCCTAAACCCTAGACCTGAATCTTCAACACCTGGCTTCGAGGAGTCCGCAGTCAGTCCTGCAGGTGCGATCAGCATCGGGCTTGCAGACTAGCACAGCTGTTCTCCCCTAAACCCTAAACCCTAAACCCTAAACCCTAAACCCTAAACCCTAAACCCTAAACCCTAAACCCTAAACCCTAAACCCTAACAACCCTGAACCGGAACTCTAAACCCTAAACCGGAACTCCCAAGGTCAGCGGCGGGCAGAATGGAAGCGTTCTATCATCGACGGAGTTTTACAGGCCTGAGCTGGACGAGTGGCAGGCCTCTCGTTTGCAGGACGACGTGCGCGGGGGCTTTTTGTCCGTAATAGGCCCTCCTTACTGGCTCAAAACCCAACTTTTCAACTCTTGGGCTTCTTATAAGGTAGTTGATTCTGAAAGTTTCAACTTTTGTTTCCTTGGGTTTTGGACCAGTAAGCCTCCAAGCTATCCGGGATGGCGTCACAACTACCAGGGTTTGGCAAGTGGTTCGTCGGAACGACCACGAACCTACTTGTTAGGCTGGTGAGAGGGCTTCCTGGCCCTGGTTTAGGGTTTAGGGTTATGGTTTAGGGTTTAGGCTTTAGGCTTTAGGGTTTAGGGTTTAGGGTTTAGGGTTTAGGGTTTAGGGTGGTTCCGCACAATCAACACCCATGTTCGGCTTGCCACACAAAGTGGCCAAATGGGGGCAGGGGTAGGGGTAGGGCTCCCTACACCCCAAAGCTTAAACCCTGCAACGCCAAAGCTTTCTGAGCACCGAAATGAACTCTGAATCCCAACAGAGCGACTTGACCGATACAGTTGCGGAACTGAGGCGGGACCTGCAATGACAATTCCAAGATACGGCCACCAGTGCCTGCTGTGCAGCCTCTAACCCCTGACAAGGTGGGTTTAGTTCAGAAGCCTTAAACTCATGTATCAGAACCCTGAACCCGCCTAAACCGCATCAGGATTACAAAAAGGTTTTTGATCGACCGTTTTGGGTCTCTCGGTTTCCGCCTGAAGGGGGCTGCAGGGCGTAGCACCTATGCGGGCCCTAAACCTTAAGCCCGACACCCCGCCCTGCACCGTACACTGAGACCGGGTGGTTATGGGAGGTTCGAGATTTAGGCCGTTCGGTGCGCTCGCCCAGTAGGAAATGTGGGAGTTGCCCTTGCATCAGGGAGCAGCACGCTCTACTGAAGACAGGGACCCCAATGTGCCGACGAAGCTGAAGTCGAGCTAAGCAAGCACGGCCTGTTTCAACGGACCCTGACACTGAACGGCCCTGCTTCCACGCGGATGACAAGGGAGCGCAGTCCAAGATAGGTGGATGGAGCCAAGCCCTAGAATCGGTCAATTGTTCACCAATTCTCCAATAAAGAGACTCCGGCCCTTTGGCTCGGGTTAACTCTAGAGTCATACGTAGTGCCCATCGCAAACCTTGCTCTGACAACGGCCGTTCATTCGTGGCTGCAGAGCCCTGCCAATGTACTGAGCCAGCGCTGTACTCACCAGACATTGAAAAGAAATAGCCGCCGGTACGTATTCTGGAGAACCAGTGGTGAGTTCAACGCATATCGTTCACGTTGATGATAAGAGCTTCGCCATGGGACAACAACAGCCATGAACATGCCAAGCATGCTAGGCTTCGTCGGTCCTAAAGAGCTTCGCAACTTGTGCTGCAGTGTTTGGCATGTTTGTTGGCCCATGTTGGGGAGGAGGACCTGTACATGCGGCGTCATACATGACACTCTGGTTGCAAAGAGCTTCCGGATCTGAACGGCGCTGATTCAGCATGTAGCAAAAGATGTGCTCATAGCTCAGTTACCTCAGCACTCCGAGGTTCATCGTGTTGGTAGCTCTCCGGAGTTCTCCAAACAAGAGACACTCCCACGTTCAGGAGGCCTCTTGAAGCAGGCGCCCTCCGCTTGAAACGGCCTCCCCCCATGTGCCCCGAACAACAGCCTGAAAAGCTTGGCAGGGTATAGGGGAGATAGGGGGGTACAGTTTCTAGGGCCCTCAGAAGTGACAGCAAGTCAGTGGAGGAGCGTGCCATGACGCTCGAATGGCAAGTTCCTCGGTGGTCTGCTGCTCTCTACTTGGAGGTTCATGGGTAGCTATAAGTAGTGCTCGAAGTACCCTAAACCCTAAACCCTAAACCCGAAACCCTAAACCCTAAACCCTAAACCCTAAACCCAAAGCATAACTACCCATGAACCTTGCAGCACGAAGTGTTTCGGGCCTCGACTCCAAGCCTTCCGGGCTGGGCCACCGCTGA